CACGGGGCTCCTCACGGCCCCAGGCCTGTGCAGGGCAGCCTGCGCTGGCCCGCAGGGCTCCTGCTGTCGCCACAGGACACCCCTCATTCACCTTCAATTTCCAGTCAGCTCCAAACGGAAGGCACAAAGCGGTGGGCGAGCCGCGCTTGCAATATTCGTGATGAATAAACCCAAACAGTTTTAATTTATGGATACAGTTTTATTTAAACTCATTGGAATCTGAAGAGCGTATTCACTAAATGTGAACAGGGAAGCTTGCTCTTTGTATGGGTGACACTGTTGCCCAGCAATTTGTGTACCTGGGACTCTTTCATCTAAAAGGAAATGATTTGGCTGTGTGATGTAAACAGACTAAAAATTAAGGAGAAAAAGATTGTTAGTTCTTGTCTACCCTCACCTCCTTTGTCTTGTATTTTTAATTTCCTAGCTGGTGGGAATATTATTTTTGGAAATTACAAATGTGAGGCAGCTTTATAGCATCAGTTATTTTCAGGTGACCTTTGATGCCAAAACTCATCTCTTCAGTGTCTAGGTCTCCTAAATTCTTATTAGAATTAAGATGAAATTATCTACTTTGCTTTAAGTCTGTCCCTGGAAAAGTATTGACAAACCAGCAAGTCTACTAGTTACTGCGGGGCAAAAAAGCCACATGTGGAACGTGCCACATCTGCTCTTAGCACTCACTGTGGGTTTGGCTTTTCTTTTTGAAGAGGATAGTATTACCAGTTCTGACTGGAGGTACACTTGGGATGTAGGTGAAGATCCTGACGTGGCTTGACACATGGGAAGATGGGGTTATAAATAGGCTCAAGAAGCTCAAGTAAGTGACATGCCTGTCGAGCCCAGATGGGGTCTTCTGGGTGAGATCTTTTGAGACAAGGTTTATATCTCTTCTCAAAAGATTTGCTTGCATTCAATGTCTTTTAATGACTGAGGAAATTACTGACAAAATGTCTTCAAGCACTTCTCTGGTAGGAATTTCCAATTTCTGTTATCTTCAGAGTTAGTCAATCCACGTAATTCCATTTGCCACGTTGCTCACTGTTGTGAGTCTGCTTCTACAGTAGCCGTCATTTGCTACTTCAGGTAGTAACTAAGGAACCAAGAAATGGTCATTTGGCAGGGCTAGATCAGAGGGAATAAATCACTTATGATTAGATGAAGACATAATATTTACTCTCCCTGAGAACCTGCTCCCATCTGTGTATTCAGTACCAAAGTCTACCTGAAAGATTTTTATTGTTTTGTTAGGAAACACTTTCTGGCATTTGAATAAATATTTAAAAACCAAATAAAATATTTTTAAAATAGTTTTTAAATGTGACATCACCACTTATTTAATCTCTTTAGCAGCAGAAGATAATTGTCTCAAGAAGATAAGAGCCTCTTGGGGAAGAAGGCCATCAAACTAGTAATAATAATGATGAACATGAATGTGCTATTGTTGAATTAAAATGAATACTCTTTTCCCCTATATTTGAAATAGCTCACATTAGATTTCTATCTGATATGTTACTTGGGATAACAGAGGGAAACTACCGCTTTAGTGCCTATGCATGACAGCACTTATTGTTGATGGTGGAGCCATAATTAACCAAGTTATTTATTAAGGGAAGGGGCTTTAGAAGAATGACTTGGATTAAGTAGTGTGAAATACTGAAGCAGCTTCCTAAGATATTTTTCCTTGGCTTTCTCCAGAATTTCTTGAACAACCAGAACTTTTTTTAAGTGTCAAGAACTCTACTGGCTTGTGAAACTTGTGGAAAAATGACAGCTAGCTTGAAGTGCCTCAGAAATCAGTTCAGAGATTCCTATTGAACTGAATGCTTAAAATAAAATAAAAAAAATTGCTTTGTCTTTGGTTATTTTAAAAACAAACCCCAAAATACTGTTTCACTTTGACCTTTTTTTTTTCATATGCCTTATGACTTTTTGGCATAGCAACTGACAATAGAGCTGAAGAAGGAAGCCAGGGAGGGCTCCAGACTAACTTATTTGGTGTGGTAGAATGATTCCTTTTACAATTGCTTTGCAAATGCTCTTCTTGCAATGGTCTTGTTTATGTGAGATTCTGGAAAAATAGCAAAATTACAAAACCAGAAGCTTTGTTTAAGTATTTTCTTTTTATTGAGTGGTAACTTCATTAACTGAAGTCAAGTGCTTTTGTAGAAAGTATGTCAAGCTGTACAGGTGTGTAGTAAAGAAAGGCTGAGGTCGCTAAATCATTTCTGGGGACTTTGGGTATATTTTGTGGATGGTAGTGCTGTAAAAATGTTGTCAATTAATAATATTTCCAGAGGAAGAGATTTAAATTTCTCTGTTATCTTCAGCACAAAGTGTCCCCAGATTATTTCTGGTCATAAAGTTTTTGCTTATGAGCTGACCCTAAAGCACGTACAGACCAGGCAAGCTTTCTCTAAGATTTCTAAAATGCTGCTGCAGACCTAATTTTGTGGATGTTATTTGCTTGTTTTTGATATCTCCAGAGAGTGCCATGTAAAGTTTCTTTACTTTCTCTGAAATGATGTGGTTTAGGACTTTAAAAATAAGAGGTATGCAAAATTTTACTTCCAAATACAAAGATTTAAAATGCTGAGCATTTTCATTTGGTTTCGGAGAGCTCAGTGCTTTAGAAAAATCAAATTATTTTTCAACCTAAATTTAGACACTTGTATTAAAAAGATCTGATGAGTGTTCCAAAGAAATAAGTTAATAGAAATTAATTATCACCCTAACACCTAACTTTAAAGAAAAGTATTTTGAGTAATAAGAAATCTGGTAAAAAAATCCTATAGATAAAGGTACTTTAAAATGCAAAAATTGCTAGAATCCACTGTGAAGGCCACCTGGAATAATTTCTTGACAGAAATAGGTACAACAAAAAGCAAGATGGTAAGAGCAGACACCCCAGACACAGTGGCAAGGCTGAAGTGGTTTTTCCTAAGCAATCAGGAGTTCTTCAAAAATTATAGTTTTGCTCAAGAGAATGAAATAGAGAACAAGAAATGAGAATTCAGAAATGTGGGAAGCCTGGGAAACACAACCAGAGATAAAGAAAACCAAATAAAGCCTAAGTCTTCAGTAAAGTGAAATCAGAAAACCTGCATGAAAACCTCTAAGTTTGCTGAGCTGTAGCTAAGGAGAATGAGTACTGCAGTATGGTGAAAGATTTGTCTCAATCTTCACCATGTAAATTAATAGCAGATATATTTTTTCTAAAACCTATTCTTTATAAGGAACAAAAGTAAAGGATGTTATAAGATATGGGTGCTGATCTTATAATCAGGGTACTGAAATAATATTCAGATATTTTTATTTTTAATCCATATTTTGTTTCATGTGATAAATCCTAACTTCTGTATTAAAAAAATAATACCTTGAATAAGTTAACAGGAATCTAGTAAAGAACAGGATGCCATTTAAGTTGGATTTTCCTTTCAGAAAATTCTTCATCCCTCATTAGAGGTATGACTGAGGATAATAGATTTGCATGGAAGAAGAGCTGAAGTTCTGCACCATCCTGACTGAAAAAAAAGAAAACCTCACTGAAGTGGGATTAAATTATTAAATCTTAGTAAGGGCAAAGGTTAATACTGAAGCACCCCTGTCTCCCTTCCTGCATACATGTGCATACATGTATATTTTTCTTGAAAAGCAGATGAACACTGAGATGAAAAATAGGCAGTAGGCAAAGTGACAAGGTTAGCTTGGATGAGAGATGACTGAGGGACTTGGAGGAACAAAAGCAAGTTAAAGCATATTGGAGTGGAGGCTGAAAAATATTCCTGAGTAATGCAAGGCAAAGAACACAGAAAGAATAATTGGGAAAAAATAGCTTCAGCTATTCTGGAAGAAGGAAGAACAAAGTGTTACTGCTATTTTAAGTGGAGGTCAAAGTAAAAACAAATATGTTGGAAACATAAAAGAAAAAGAAAACAAACCGAAAACCCGAGAATAAACCAATTCAACAAATTAAGAACAATTCCCAGTTACAGTTATGGGTGATATTTTACTGCTAGAGAAGTAAGTGGAAGAAAATATCTTGCTGACAGCTTTAGTATTAGGAATTTACTTGTTTTCAACTGTAGTTATGCTTTAATCACAAGGATATTAAAGTTGAAGACCAAGTTCATCAGGCAGCTGCATTAGAACTGTGGTTGTTATGGACTTCACCCAATGGACCACTGGTCCAGTCCAGCATTATTATTCTTCTGGGAAAGAAAACGCTTGCTAAAAA